GAATATTCAATTTATTGGATTCACGTTTAGATAAATAATTACAAATTTATTTCAAATTTAGAGATTAATGTATAAATAAAAGTATTTAATAATTTAGGCAATGATTTTGGTTTTAATAAAATTCACAAACTATTAGTCAAACGAGAAATTTAAATAAAATGTTTAATTGAAAGCGAAATGAAGTGATTTTGTTTTGAAAGCGAAAGTGAGGGCAAAGATCGTGGAAAGAGTGAGAGAAGACTTGCATTTTGTAGCGAAGATTACTTACAAATGAATTAATAAATTGAGTGAATGATTGCAATGAAGGTATGAAACGCTTTGAATTGAATCGAAGTTCTCATTCAATGGCATCTCATTATTAATGGCAGCGAATGAATGGTATGAATGAATGAATGCAATGAACTGGTGATTAAATTAATTGTTTGGTTTGGATTTCATACTAAAAGCATATTTAATTGTGATTAAAGCGTCTAAATTATGGGGGCTTTCATTGATGTACTGTTTTGTGTGTGTTTTCTGCAGAAATATCAACAAATTATGCATAAAAAAATTCAGCGATTAGTAAATGATTTGAATAGAAAATGTCATATCAAAAGTAAGGCTATGATGACTACCATGTGGGGGCCGTATTGGCCAATCGCCTCATCCTTCGCGTATTCCTGTCCTGATCTCTGATCTTCTTCTCCATCTCAGCGTCGGTCAGAGTCTCGAGGAATGGACACCACTGGTCGGCTTCCGACTGATTACGGAACGGAACATTCACTTGAGATAACGGCGTCTCACTATTAATCATATTATATCTTATATTAGATCCCAAATGAATGGATTGTGTGTATAAAACCTGAAGGCGTAAGTCCTCTGATGCCAAGACAATTGTCCTCTAATACTATAAGCGATTGCAGTGACAAACTCTCCGCCCAAACCTAATTCGGCGCATAATTTAAGCGCAAACTGTTCCGGAGTGTTGTCCTTATCAGACATATCCCACTCGAACTGATCCACGAGTGATATATTTCCCACATGTATATTGAGCTATAATTGTCAACACTTCCAGTCAATGGGTTGTTTGGCGTATCAAATGATGAGACAAACCTTAAGAACGACCCGTTGGTCGTCCATTACGTGGTCGTCCAGAATGTTGTCGGTCGGGAAGGCCTCGATTTGCTGCCGAATGGACTGCGAGATCGCCGGCACGAACGACATCGACGGCAAATCCAGATCATCGCACAGGACTTCAGCGAATTGTTCCGGAGTCATGGTTTGCTCTGTATATTTTAAGCACAAATTATTGATAACAAGTAATAACACCAAACAAATAATGGTGAAGAAGCGAACCATTCTTATTCCACGTGAATGTGTCGCGAAGTTTGTGGCCATCGATCTCCATATCGAGTCTGACGGGCACTAAGATCTCGGTTTGGGAAGCGTTCTCGTGAATGAGCGCCGGATCTAAATCGTCGTAAAGCAATGGAAAAGTGCGGACCTTTTTGTGGCAAATACGGGATCTACTGATGGGTGTAGAACAGGGAACGGCATCCAAATGGTGGGAACTGTTGGGTAGGGTTGGGATCCAATTCGATCGCTTCGATTTCGACTCCCTATTCAACAACAATACAAAGACATCCAATCAATCAATTGTCACAACAGAGAGAGAGAGAGAGAGAGAGAGAGAGCATTCATTAATGGCTAACCTTTGAACGGAAGGCTCGGAACTGATGGACACGGCTTTGTACTTATCATCCCTGCCCTCAAATATCTCGTCCACTTCCGAGGCCTTCAATAGCGTTATATTAGTGGCCAAAGAGTGCGGACCTAATCCTATAGTACTGATCCGTTTGCGCTCTTCAACGCTCACCAAACGGCGCCAAAGCGATGGATACCTCTTGTAAAGGGAACCCCTAAACATCCGCATATAGTTCCCGACCTGTCATTCGCGACAACCAAATGGTTAGATAATAATGAAGACAAGAGTGGTTGAGGAGGGGATGGGAAGCGATGGATGGATACCTCGGATCCGATGTAATGAAACTCTCCGTTCTCTTCCAACTGGAAAGCCGTCGGTCTTTCGCCAAATGTCCGCATTTTGCTCCTATGGTTGGCCGACACACGCGTGGATCAGATAATGAATGGTGTCTTTGTGTCAATGGTTTTGGTTGTGATTTGCTTGGGATGTGTTGTCCTCTGCTTTCAATGCATTCAAGTGAACGCCATTTGCAGTGTTTGAGTGAAGCAGTGCTCACAGAGGCATACGTTTTGTACCCATTTGTGACAATGCATTGAATTGTAAACACTGTTTGCAATCGCTATGTAATGGGCCCTCACGTGCGCCATACCTGTTAAGCCCTTTAACACTCTGTACGCCGGCTCTCATTGTAACACAACTTTTAATTTAAGTTTGCATTCAATTTAATAACAATTTATTTAATTTACACTAAATTTATTATATTTGTATTTATTAACAATACTAACAGTTATTAGCAAATGTGTTGAATGGTTGACATCCTCTCCCCTTCTAATCGATATAGTTGTTTAAATTGAATCATATTTGGTTAAAGTTCTTGAAATGATATTGTTAATTTAACAATGGTTACTTGGCTTGGTTAATTATTTAAATTGGCTAATAAACTATAAATCAATTAATTGGTGTCAATTAATATCAGTAATAGTATTAATTATATGCTTAGATAATATGCACACATTTTTTGGCGAATTTTGGCCGTTAATTAAAATAGTGTAATGAATATCAGAATATTCTGTAAACTTATCGCATATTTATTAATTGATAACAGATATTATGCTATAAAAACACTCGGCTTTGTTTTTATTGTGATTTATTTGATTAAACAGTGGCTTAGTTTACGTGTGTTTTTAGCAAACAATGTATTGATTTGATTAACAAAAAACTAATCTTTTAATACTAAACAATCGATAGGAAATTCCAATGAGATAATGGTTTGGTACTAAATTCAGTGTATTTCATGCATAATAGCAGATATGACTTAATAGTTTCAACAGTAAATACTAGAGTACTGTATAACAAAATGTATAATTATCTCATTNTTTGAATGTAGAGAAAAGGCTGACGTTTATCCTCTGATAGAAGTGGACGACATGTTGCTTATGAAGGATAAGCCCGACTGGAAGTGTGTCTTCACTTACGTTCAGGGAATATACAGAAAACTTCACGACAGGGACTAAATTGTTACCTACTTTTGTTTCATCGCTTTTCTTATATCAGTTGATGTTTTGAATTTGAGTTTTGATTTTTTTCTTTCTGGGAACGAATTAACGTTTGCGATATTTGTATACATTTTATTATTTATGTTTAAGTTTTTATAATATTTTGCAATTCATGCATAAGTATGTGTATTACTATTACTATGTGTAAGCATTTAGTAAAATTGTAGAATTTAGTGAATAATTACTGTACATTCGTGTCTATATTCACTATAGTTGTTAGAAGTGCTAAATAAACATTGAATCAATGATAAAATCAACATATATTATAAATGAAGCTTTGTTATATTCTGTACACATATGTAATATGTGGTTAATAAGTCTTAATGAGAATGAGAATGACATATTGTAAATGTGTTGAGTTTATAAATGTTATTAAATATAATTTAAAAACACAATTAATTGGAAGAAATAACTAGATTTATAACTAAAATAAAAGATTAACCCATCAAACACATGAGGAGAACACAATTATTGACACTTGCATTAGTAATCTTAAATATTTGACCAAGGTAATGTATTATGGCCTAAAACAATTAATATCTGCGTTACAAACAATAATTACATAAAATTGTGTTTAATAATTGACAGCATAAACGATATATTGTTTATTTTGCATTTATGTCTTGTCTTTGAATTGACAACTAGTGATAACTTATCGCTTAATCTAAACAATGAGATAATTATACATTTTGTTATACAGTACTCTAGTATTTACTGTTGAAACTATTAAGTCATATCTGCTATTATGCATGAAATACACTGAATTTAGTACCAAACCATTATCTCATTGGAATTTCCTATCGATTGTTTAGTATTAAAAGATTAGTTTTTTGTTAATCAAATCAATACATTGTTTGCTAAAAACACACGTAAACTAAGCCACTGTTTAATCAAATAAATCACAATAAAAACAAAGCCGAGTGTTTTTATAGCATAATATCTGTTATCAATTAATAAATATGCGATAAGTTTACAGAATATTCTGATATTCATTACACTATTTTAATTAACGGCCAAAATTCGCC